CCCTGGCCAGCAACGGTAGTTTGGCCACTCTATCAAAAAGTATTGATCAGAAATGAGTCGATTTGTGTATATTTACCTTGAGCTTTCTTGCCAATTCCTTGGCATGCAATATGTTGGCTAGTTTTGATTGAGCATAAGCGTGAGCGGCATTATAACTGCATGAATGTACTGTGAACATATCAGAAAAGGTAGATAATCTGCTGATTTTGGCAGGACCATAAGGTAACTAAATGAATATACCATACACAGATTTTTCTTTAAAAACAAAAATATCAACAAAGAAAAATCATAAACAATATGTAATGTACTTTCAATTAAGAAAGAATTTTATACCTGATTTAATTCAGTCAATTAAAGTTCAAGAGATTTTTCTTATTCGTGACAATAAAATAGAAACAAGAAGTGGTGTGTACTGTATATTATTGATTTTTGGATTTCATCTTTAAAATGTTAACTTCATTCAGGGGAGTAGCCTGAATATATATATATATATATATTTTAGAAAATAATCAATTTTACCCTGAAGATAATGTGTCGTTTGATATCACAAATTTTGAAATTTAATTGTCTACTTGAGCTGTAGACAAATCTAAGCTCACTTGAGCCTTTTGGAAATTTCGTCTTAAAAGGTTACAACAAACTCAAATTCTTATATGTTGTTTATTATTTTCACGGAAAATTGTATCCATACATGTGTTACCTCTTTGGGTTTAGCATTTTACTGAAACAAAAGTCTTCTTTTTTCACCCATTTGTGTATCACAGACGTGACATTTATTATTCTTCCTTGGATGCCACTCTCTGCTGCTGTCTCCACCATTTTCCTCAGCAATATTTCTGTCAACAGAAAATGTCCTGCAAAAATAAAAATGTAATAATATTAAATTTTTGCTCTATATACTTAAAATCCTTGTTGAAATGTTTGATTATATATATATGTATCACAAATTCAAGCTGGAAATATAAGAATATACCTAAGTAATTTGTTGCAAAAGTCATCTCAATTTTGTCTTCAGAATACTCCAATCTGTGTGAATATATGCCAGCGTTGTTTCTGCATACATAGAAAAGAAAAGTTAATATCAGTAATCAGTTTTATGCACTACCTAATCGTGTCATGTCCACCACAACCAATTTTAGAATAGTCGAACAACAAAAGAGAGACATTTATTTATTTAAACTTGGTATTCAACACGGTCCTCCCAAGTCAAGTTCATTTTTTTCATCAAAGGTCTGATATACGTGCTTAATTTTCATAAATGGATGGCAGTGAGACTTGAATTCAGAATCTTTGTCTCCTTTCTTTATACACTCCAAATCTTATTAAGCCGTTAAATTGTAGACACTCATAGTCTTCTACATCTAACAAAACAAGAATGGTGAACAAGAAAGAATATGAAAGAGAGAGCGAAAAATATATACATGAGGATATGAAGGGGTAGTCCTAATGATAAGAAATCAGAACAAAATTTCTGGATTGAAGCAAACGAACTCAAGTCCATCTCTAATAAGATTATTTCTGCTGCTGGACTCTCCTTTTGTATGCATTCCTTCACTTCTGCTGCCTTAATCAAATCCCTCGCCGGAATAATTACTCTTACACCATGATTCGCCAACACTCTCGCAGTCTCAGCACCGATACCAGATGTCGCACCTTATTGTACAAAACAGTTAAAATTATAAAATCTCTTGCAGAATCTTTAAAGCGAAGAAAAATTTCCAAGTGTTGAACTATGACTTCAGTGCGTGTGTGCTAGCGCACAATGTCTCTGGCCAAACTTTATATATTCATAGTTGGATATATACAATGTTTAAGACTAGATTTGAATGAATACACGGAATTCCTCTTTAACAACTTGAACTTTTAGGATGTGATTGTTAACTTGTATCTGCCACCAATTTTTAAAATTGTTCGTGTGAAATATTTTTTATCGAGTCACGAACATGATCTAAACACACGAGGAAGCAAAATTTGAACTACACATGATGCCCCTCTCTAGTAACTTTTGAATAAGATGGTTAACGTGTAGATAGAGAATACATACCGGAGATTATTGCGGTAAGCTGAGATATTGTTGGCATGGAACACACACAATCTTGAGTAACTTTTTCAGCGGTAGATTTCGAACCATAGCCACTGGGCCCTGCAATTCCTGTCAAATACTTCATTGTTGCCTTCATATTGATAACCAAACTCAGAAGTCTGCACCAAAGGAATGTGAAAATGGTAGAAAAGCATGTACATATTATAGACATGTCGACTTAATTTTTGACCGTTAAGACACAAAATTCACATTGTGGCAAGCATGCATGCAATGTGTTTATAAACACATACGTCTATCTAACAATGCTGTATGTATATATATATATATATATGCCTCCCTAGGTCGGCTTTTGTTTGTACTTCATTGGATGCAAGAAAGAACCAACAACATTCTCATTAACGTCGAGACTCCATGTGTGGCATAACTTAAATTATGATTTAAGCTAATCAAATATACTTTTTATCAACATATTTCGCAAATCCCTCAATTCACTGCACACTTTAACCGCCCATTACATAGGATCCACAACTTATAAACACTTAGAAATACTAAGTCTTTGTTTGGTGAGTAAAAAGATATTTTTTGTAAATATTAATAAAAATTGATGAAATATATGGTTTAAAAGTTGTGGATACCATAAAATGAGTGGTTAAAATTAATTATTGACTTTAATTCCCTACCAAACAGGGGCTAAGAATCAAGCATGTCGTTCCTTCTTTAAAAACTTAACCTTTGATAAGAGAATAGCTTGAGTTCTTATAATAGTTTCCATATTTAATTGGATTTATCCCTTAACGAATCGATGAGTTCAATATTACTATCAAACCTCCTGATAAAAATTAAGTCAGTAGACTAAAATTCGGTGGTGGATAATTTGCAGTGGATTAACATTGTATAATTTTTCAAGCTTGTAACATTGTAGCAAAAACAATTTTAAGATGTAACAACACTCGTTATTTCGGAAACATTTTCATTAGAGAATCCTTCGGATTCTGTGTGAAGCAGCAGCCGAAGGATCTGCAAAATCCGGATGCCGCCGTGGAGATGGATTCTGCATCCATATAATATGTGCAACCGGCAGCCGAAAGAATAGTCAAATCAATTTTGTTTGGAGCAATCGTCAAGGAAGGCTGTGCTGTCATTACGAATTCAAATGGCTTATATGGGTAAGCCGGTAGCGGTCAGTTCAATTACATACGTAAAAAGGACAAAAGTGAAACCACACTAGCCTGTTCCACATTCCGTCCTCGACCAGGTCAAGATTAACAAATAGAGAACTCCAAATCAAAAAAGAAACAGAAGATCAAATGTTTCTGGTGTTCCGGATAGCTAAATAAATATGACCATGATGGAGATGGCTGACGAGCCTCATCCGGATGCTTGATAAGAGCTCATTGCCAAACTGGAATGGATCTCAATGAACGTGGCTGGCAAAGTCGGATGTTAAACTTGGAGTGGCTGACTGGTTTGCTTCGGACGATTCATGTCGCATTAAACTATCCATGTGATGATTAATCCTTACCACTCAGGCAAAATTAGAGCTCTACCACCACAGGAGCCTTCCATTAGGGCACGCTCCCTCTTTCCTTTTTTCAAACCCTGTATGGCCACATGGAGACATAGAAAAGGGGATCTATTGACTTGTTCCAACCTACGATAATAAGTAGACGAGATTGGATATACTTTAAGATCGAGAAACGAAAGAAGATTGCAATGGTTGGAGACGAGTCGAATTATGAGATTTGAATTCAAAAATCTCACGTAGAAGGTAGAAAACAATAACAATTACCATAGTTGCAGTGTGACTCCAGATCATGTTGATCGTTAACTTGCTAGCTTTGGAAGTAGATATCTGCCAATGATGAGGCCAAAATGGGACGTCGAGCCCAACATAATAATTATTACAAGTTATTTCACTAGAACTGGAGGTAGTACAATTTAGTTAATCTCTCCTCTCATTAGAAGTTACTTTCTGCCATCATCCCAACCCAAACCAGCATTTCCTTTGTTTCCAATTGCTTGTAATGGTTCGATCAAACCATTGGTGCCACGGCCAAGTGCCTCCCCCTGTACCAAATATTAGGAGCATTAGAAAGGATATTATATCACAAACAATAAGAATACATGATTTCCTATCGCGCTAACAAAGGCCAAATGCAGACATGGATACTTGAATGGTATTCTAACATAATAATATGATGACATTCTTAAATATTTGATGCAACTTTTGCCTGAACAGAAACAGAATAGTACTTGGTTCTCCTTACTAAAACTGAATTCTTGACCATCATTCAGTTCAAAAGATTACCTCCTTCCAGCCCATGCTTTCAAGAATTTTTCTGGCATAACTTCCTGCCCCGAAGGAAATGCTTAACGACTCGACTGCAGCTTCTTCAGGGTGTAATGAAATAAGAGATGATGGAGAATCAGTACTGTCAAGTGACGTTTTTTGTTCTGGACCAATACCAAAGCCACCATGCAGAGCTCTCCTCTCGGCAGCTCTGTCCCTGTACACATGATCCTGAAATTGCAAAATATAGAAATTAGAAAGGAAAACAGAAGTAATACTTCCTCTTGAACATGAGGGAATGGGAGTGGGAGGTTATCAAGATTCAACATGCATCTATTCATGAACAAGATCGATTGCCTAGTGCAAGGGTTCTTGTGATAATTTGCATTTTAAACATATTAACCTACCTTATGTATGATGACACCAAGAATGAAAACATATAAGAGCCAACTTAAATCAAAACACTAAGCGACAAGGTGGCCACGTATCACACGGTGATGTGGTAGGCTGGTAGCCTTGCAAGTTGCATCAGCTCAAGTAAATCTTTAAAAAACTCCAACTGAACCCTCAGTCTACAACATGGAGATTAGATTAAAATACTACCATGTTTAAACCAGGGAAATCTCAAAGCAGAAATGACTGTCAGTCTGTCACTATTATGAATTTATGAATCAAATGATTATAATACACTTGGCACTTAAATGTACACCAAATTCTTTTCTTTTTCCAACTATCAAGCACGGTTGCTGAAAACATACAAGTTAAGGAAACCTTAAGCTTCATAAAGCTTATGTAGGCAGGAGTTACCTTTTCAGATGAGCAGAGCTTCTCAGAGGACAAAGATTGGCCCTCTTGGACAGCAAGACCTTCCGAGCTTTTAGATTCGGACTTCGAATGATATTTTGGTATCTTATTCATATGTTTATCGATTGACAATTGTGGGAAGCCCCAATCTTTGGTCGGCTCGGATGCATCATAAACCAACAAGGATGCCAAGTATTGCGAGCTAGGAATCCTCAATCTATATACCTGACCTATGGGAAGGAAAAACTAGAGTAACTGATCTGTTTCACAAAAAATGAAGAACAAATCTTTGTGTGTGCAATCTTGTGTGTGAGAAAGATAGGCTTTAATTTAGATTAACAATGCAGAAGGTAGAGCTTGGCACACTAATAAAAAATGCATAATTACATTGCTACAAACTCAAAAGTGGTCATCTCTACTTAATAATCCCTTAAAAATGTGACCTTCACATTACTAAGGACAATATAGCAGAACAGGAAGGCCAATAACATATTATCCTGCACCTGATCACATGCCATCTCTGAATATATATCTTTGTAATTTGTCTTTAAGCTCGAACTTGTGGGTTTTTGCACTCTACTAACAGAAGTCTCGCAAGTTTTTTGACTTTGTGATGTGCCAACATTTCCCTTTATTATAACAAAGGTCATGATGTCTGGTGTCACCTGTTGGCTTAGACCATAGACCAGATCTAGTGCGCTGCTTCTCTGGTGTCATCAAGAGAATCAAGAGAAGTTTTCTGGATGTATATCCTCAATTTATAGAGTTTATAAAAATAAAAGTCAGTGTTGCTATTACATTTGTTTTTTTTTTTCCAGGGCATCATTTACTACACGTGCACAACGAAGATCCTCGTTTTTAGAAATCTTATTCGTTGACGAATATTATATGTATGTTTAACCAAAGCATAATTGGAATTTAATGAAAATAGTAATTAGTACACGAGGATTTAGACTTTGCCCTTAGTAAAGTTGACATTTTAACATTCAACTTCAATACTCATTAAAATATCAGTCTATTGGAGCTAAAAAAAACCTCAACGGAAGCAATTTAATTTGTCTAAAACTCAAACAAGTAATAGAAGTTTAAGATTGATTTTCTCAAAAGAATCACCATTTTCCGGACATGTTAAAATTAAAATATTGCATCACTTACATGGAGAAAACAATCATCAACGTATAATTTGCTCAGACTCTACAAGATTCATCTTTTGAAATAAACTCTTGTTAGGAATATTGGGCCTAACTCCACCTAATAAAACTAGCTTATTAGGGGAGGATTGCCCTCACCTTATTAAGTGGATCATTTATATTTTCCCAAGTAATGTGGGATTCTAATACGCCCCCTCACGCACAGCGTGGACCATGCCAAACAACTGTGATGGATCATTTATATTTTTTCCAAGCAATGTGGGATTCTAAAACGCCCCCTCACGCACAGCGTGGATTATGCCAAACAACTGTGAACAAATCGATATTAGATGGCACCCAACATTGCATAATTGGGCCTAACTCTGATGCCATGTTAGGAATATTGGGCCTAACTCCACCTAATAAAACCGGCTTATTAGGGGAGGATTGCGCTCACCTTATTAAGTGGATCATTTATATTTTCCCAAGTAATGTAGGATTCTAATAACTCTAATCAAGAGAATCAAGACTTATCTCCGATCAATTATGTCACAAGAAATACTGGATTGGCTATATTATCAGGTGAGAAAGAAATGGTTGAACATGATTATTCAAATTTGATTAATGTTTTTTCCTCTAAAACCGCAATTGTTTTACTGTTAAATTTTAAGTTAACAATTTATTTCATAATACACTTATAGATTTTGCATGCATACTACAATTTGGGGAGGGAGCCTAATTTATTAAATTCGTCTTAGATCCCGAAAATTGATGTATAAATTCTTCAGTAATGAGCTTTCCATAATTTAGAGAAATGAAGAAAAGCATACTATGTCCAAAAAGTTATCTTTACCCAAAGTTGGTTAAATATTTTCACTATCTTAGCAATCTCTTTCTTAAGCAATTCACTATAATGTATAAGGTAAAAAAGAAATTGGGAAAATGGCAAACCTGAAGTCACCCGTACCATATCAAGATACACTTCACACACTGGAGCAGTTTTCACACGAGCTGAAGATATAGATGGATGGAGCTTGCTAGAGCGCTTTTTTAGTCGGCCAACCAGCCTAGCCACCTCACCTTTTCCATCTTTTCCGGTCCCTTTAATTAATGCCCAGTCCCATAAATCCACCATGTGCAGATCTGATATCCACTCTTCATTTGGTTGAGTAGCTTGACCGTACTGAGCTCTCCAATTCTCTTCTTCTAGAGATATACCTGTGCAGAAGACCATAGTTCAAATCGTCAATTCAAACTACAATTTGAAGTAATCACACTACCCAACTTCTCTTTCCTCTCTCCCCTACTCTTTTCTGTTAGCTTCAATCAGTATCCTTATATAGGTCTAATTGAGAAGCCTTGAAAAGTAGATAAGAGGACAAATTCCCATGTAAGTATAGATGCATGTGAATGATGTTTCAGTGTATGTCATTAGGGCACATATCTATCTGTAATGCAGTCACTGAAAATTGAGAATACGAGAAGTCAAAACCAGTAGTTTTGAGTAATACTAATTTTCTTTCTTGCAATATGTACCTTCATCTGCTATAGTGCTGCTAAAATCAGTTAAACAATTAGGCTCGTCAGGGATCAATTCGCCTTCTTCCAGTTCTTGAATTTCATCATCTCCTGCACTCGACAAAGAAGACCTGATAAGATGCCCCTTGGCAAGATTACTCCATTTAAGTTCAGAAATATTTCACATACCATCTGCTGGAAGATTTAGCTGCTTTGTATCATTAGTTTCCACAGACATTGCCATGTCAGAAGCAGCAGCATGAGTTGATTGGTCGGAATAACCCGATAAGTACATATCAATAAGAGTATCTTCCAGCCTGATTATAACATTTCAAGCTGCTCAGGTATCTAGTATATGCAACAAGAAAAGTGGCATATAAAGATAAGAAGATAGGTCTAGCCTGAACTTACCATTCTGACGCTGGAGGTGGATACTCAGATTGGTCGTTGCTGATGCATATTGACGGATCTAGACAAAATAACATAAATGGAATAATGTGGATAGAGGAGAAACAAATATATCTAACAACATTAAAAAGCTCTTCCATTATACTTCAATATAATATACAGAATATTCAAAGCTTAAAGTATGAAGTAGTGAATGACAAATAGTGAGGAAGGCTGCCATATAAACAACAAAAACTAAACACTCAAGGTGATCAGCTTTTAAACCTCATCAACCCAAATATACATAAATACAAAGTGACAGCTGACCCAAGCCTTGCAATATATGCACAATTGCGAAGAGCGTTTTAAGGATCAACATTTACTCAAATCTCAACATATGAATTTAAAATTTACTCTACACACACATAATAGTTCACCTAGGGAAGATTCAGCAGAAAGTGCAGCTCCTTCCTTTTCAGCTCCCAATACTTCGCCTTCACAATTAGCATTATGTAATTCAGATTGATCCCGATCCTAAGTTGAACAAAGTAATAACCTCGTTATCTTCATAACTCTAGAAAATTTGAGATCCCACTCCTATTTAAATAAAAATTGGAAAAAGCATATTCTTATAAGTCATAACAATACCAGATTGGACTGAAGACGCACATAATTCCCATTTTCGAATTTGTAATAAAGCCCATCTACGCTGCTGTAATACCACCCCGCTTGTGGGTCATGGTAAAATCCAGTGCTGCGTCAAAGTAATACACATAAAAACAAAATCAAAATGTCAAAACGGTATGTCGTTACTAATCATTAAAATAAAAACCATTTTGGGTTCAATTTTAATTTTTCGACATAAGTGCCAAAATATGTGGTAAGTTTCTAAGAGAAAAAATAAAAAAGTAGAAGCGAAGAAGAGAGGAAAAATGATAAAGAATTACAAAACCTGGCATGGTAGTAGAGCTGAGAATCTTCATCCCACTCGAAGGTGCAATTGATTTCCTGCGATCCTTCAGTTCCCGCCATAATTTGTTATCTTATTTACTTCTTCTCTTCTTTTATAGGGCGAATTCCGAATTGGGTTTTCCAGATTGTTCTTGAATTGAACGCAAATAATTTCTTAAAATCAATCTCTAATATTGGGCATTAAATTGAGGATCTTTGCAATTAGTACTTATTTCTATCTGTATGTTGCGTATACACCAGCATTTCATATTGTTCACTCAACTTCGGTTTGATGTAAATTGGTTGCTCAAGTTTACATTTCATTTCAGTTACACCACTATATTAACATTTGTCCAATCGTCTAATGGAATATCATGCGAAGAGTCGAAGAGTCGGAGGCCGTTGTAGACATTAAAAGTAATGATGGTCATTGAACTTTTGAGTGAAATTTTTCTGGACACAAGAAAATATCGAGTTTTTCGAATTTTATATATCTATCTTCTTTTAATTGCTGTAGAAAAACAAGTTGAATGTAATAAACGAATAGACAAAAAGGGATGATAGAGAATTGGTGTGGGTTTGATCGGATGAGATATTGAACACGGGAAGAGATATATAAATCATATTTCTTAAAATAAAAAATTTAATGATGACAAAATAGTTGTAATATCATTTGTAGCCATTCTATTTCTTCAAAATAATAAATAGTTAAGGTTATCTTAATTTGTCCATTGCAATAAGAATAATAAAATCATTCGATAGGGTTTACTGGGTTGAAATGCTAATTCTACGAAATCACCCCTCATGACAAACGTGATAATTAGAAGTTGAATATGACTACAACAAAGTGAGTTTTCTTTTCCTTTCTTTTACTATTTCTCTTTCATTGTCAGTAATATGTGCCATCAAGCATGGTCGACTTATTAAAATAATTAGAAGAATTTTGCATAATAAACATATATGGTAATTATTGAAAACTTGGACCACTGCACAACTTTTACCTATCAAAAGACTGCTTATATTTTGCTCGTATTTATAAATTATTTATAAACATTCAAGTCACATTTTATCCATGCAATTTGAGAAATTCACAAGTATTACTCACAAATAATTTAAACAATTTTTCAACACTTCCTAAACAGGTTTATGCATACAAAGATTATAGTTTGTGCCCTCTACAAATAGATATCCACACGACATAGTTTTATATGAATCCAATGAGGCATATTTCAGATGAACGCCACAAATAATCACACAGGTATAGTTTAGACATAGTTTTGCAATTTGAAAGGAATACAATCACGTTTATTGTAGTCTAACATGTGTCAAATACTCGACCCTTCAATAAAATTCCAATACACTTGTATATCAATACGATAAGCTGCAATCTACGCAACGCAAAAGTTACATTTTCCACACGAAAAAGAAAAAAAGAAAAGAAAAAAGGAAGCTGGTCTTCTGTATGAGGCTTCACAAGAAACTGTATATAGGTAAATAACAATTTCGACCTGACCTCAACTCTACAACCCTGTCATGATCATCACCGTCTCGAAAACTTGGACCACAAGTAGACCACAAAGAAACATAATAGTGCAAAGAGAACCACATGCATCACGTGGTTTGATCCTTCCCGGATGATACTTCTGTTCAGCCGCCTCATGTTGTTTTTCACTCCTGCCTGAGCTTTGATCAATGTCATTTGCTGCACAGACCAGCATAAAAGGAGCTCATTTATGTCCTTAACAAGACAATCCAACATATGTTGCATCTATTTTTGTAAAATTCAAGGATTAAAATATATATTACATTTTTCAACTTACGTAAATTTACTTAAATAGACAAGAATAAAATTAAATAAAATCTATCACTCTAAATTCATCCACTAATATGTATCCTTCATTAAATGCTTTTGAACATTTAATATTTTTTTAAACTTTAATTTTAACTAATATCCTAGTATTCATAAAACATTTTCTTCTTCAATAAAAACTAAAACAAATCATGAGAGAGATACCCTTAGAGCATATAAGTACATGGGCTGGGAACAATTCTATATCGATTCAAATCAAGTTCTTAATCTGAGTAAACCCATTAGCAGAATCATCGGAGATTTATTGTGATGACTGGCTTCTCACCATGTGGTTAAGTAGAAGCCATTGGTTTGTACCATTATTTCATTTTACTGGAGGAGTTGGAACTTGAAAATACCCAAAATGAAAACGAGTAGCGCCACATAATATATATTTCTGTTTCAATTCGATAATCATAGTAAAAAGTACAAAATATGTGACTTGACTTGCATTGTTATTGGATTGACTAATGTAATGAGTTTAATATCTATATGTATATCATTTGCCATCGTGGAATATTCACATAATAAAAGAAAAAAAAAAGTAAGTTAATTTAATAATAATAATAATAATAATATTGTTCAAATGTAATGGTGATGAATATAATACTTTCTTAAAATCTTAAAATTGTAATAGAGAGAGATTTAGAATGCAATAAATATATAAAAGTGGTGTAGGTATACAGTATTTAAATGGATGAATTTAATAGAGATAAAATTTCACAAGGGATAACTATTAACTTCTTAGTTCTTACAATTATGATTATGCCATGTTGGTTCTACTCCATAAAACTGGGGCACCACTTTCATTACTATTAACCTCTTACAGTTATTGATCTCTTACACTGATTTCTACAAAAAAAAGGTGATCTAGCTCAAGGTAACAACTGAAATATCTTATCTTTTATCTTGGCGCTTGATGCCGTACCACATAAACCTCCTTTACAACAGTAAAGGAGAGAAAAGCACTAACAAAGGAAACAACGTTTGGGGTAAATCAAACAAAACTTGGGGATGTCTTCAGGAAAAAAAGATAAGCATTTCGATACAAGAAGGAAGTGAAAAAACTTTTTTAATAAACAAGCTTGTCAAGGGTGTTAAGTTCTTTGATGAGTAAACATTTTCAAACTTTGAAAAAAGATGAACAACAAGAACAGACCCCATAAACAAAAATGAAATTGAGAACAAAACAATAAAATCATGTCAAAATCTCGAGGACCCAAATCCATGTGATTTGATGGTATTGGCAAGGGAAAGGAGGGATAGAAAAATTCGATATGAGCATAAAGGAGGATAAATAATGTATTACACGACAAAGATAAAAAAATCCTAAAGCTTATACATACCATTCCCTTCCATGTCATCCTTGCACAAATATAAGAATATTATATTTTAATTCCGTTCTCTCTACTAATCTTGAACCAAATGGAGCTATAGTGATTTTTAAAATCATATCCAAAACTAGCTTCAGTGTAGTAGTAAGAATTGGCATCAATTTCCTTTCTCCTTTCTAAAGCATGACTTGCCAAACTTCAACTAGTCTTTCACAATTTATCATATTAATTGATTGAATCGAGCTTTCATATTCCCATTTTCTTTACTTTGCTACTACCATCCCAATAATGATTTCATCATCAAACTTTTTATTTACTCTTGCGTTTTCTTTGAAAAGGGAGAGGTCATTCACCAAACTCCCATCGTTTCACTTGTCCATAAAAAGTATGTATTCATCCTTGTCGCATACAATTTTGCTTGATCTTGGAAAGATGCAATAATCCGTTAACAGTAGCAAGTTCCACTTAGCTTTCACAGTGATGAGGAATTTGACCAAAATGTCATAGGAGAGCAAAATCATACTTGAATTTCATTTTACGTCATTGGCCACAGTTTAATAGACACAAAAAGATCAACAGCAAAAATGATTGCAGAGCATATTCATAAGCGAATGAAAAGGTATAATTCAAAAATCACAACAAGTAGACATACCAGCTGATTGAGGAAATCATTCTGGAACTTGGCTTCTGACTCAATATCTCGAGCAACCTACCATATTATATGCGTAAACGAGAAAATTAGATACACGGGCGTACAATTGTACAAAATTAGAGCATGAAATAGGATTTGTTAATATGAGGCAACAATAAATTACATTTTGGGTAAGCCAACGTGTTCCTAAGTGCAAGAAGTTTATTAAGATGAAAAGAGAAAAAAATTAGGCATAGTAGTCAAAAGTGCACCTAGGAGCAAAGCAATGTGGCGCACACTTCTCATGCTGTTTTCTGTTTTGAGGCGTAGAGCTTCAAACAATTGCGCGTAAAATATAATTCAAATTCCAATTTCCAGCACAATTATTTCATCTGATTTTACTAAAAAAAAGCTTATGTAATCCAAAAAAATTATCTTAATGCCTGCAGGGAATTATATGTACAGACACCTAACAATAAAGAAATTCCAGATTAATTAGTAGGATTGATATGTTCTTTCTTAGGTTATCACAGTCAAACAAACCCTACATTAAGTTACAAAATTTTCGCATATTATAATTACAAAAAAAAAAAAAAAACTCACATTTTTTAGTAGTCGAACTTGTTTGCGGAGACCAGTGACCTCCTCATCGAAATCGGCATGCATCGGATCTATTCGAAGCTGGATTTCATCAGGATTACCGCCCCCTCCCACAGACCTTGTGCTTAATCCTTCCCTGTTTCAATTACAAATAATCAATAACCAAGTTAGAAAATTCTCAAAGAATAACAAAGCAAAATTATCCATTAGGTTTGTAAAATATAGATATTGAAGATCAAAATTGTGAAATTTACCTTGATCTGTAAGGATCAGCCATTGGAGAAGAAAACGAATAACCCCCCAAAATTTTTTATGGAATTGTGAAATGTTTGAGAGAGGAAAGAAAAATTACATATACATTAAAAAAGGATGAAATATTATTAACGCTAAGCCCCTGTTTGGCCCCCATTATTGTAGATTTTTAGGGAGTTGAAAATTTTAGAATAGTGATTGATGGGAGATGTGTGGTTGAAAAGTTTTAAATTTGTGTGTATTATTATTTTATTTGATGAATGTATGGTTGAGATGAAGAGAGAGAAAAATTTAATGTAATGTAATGAGATATAATGGGGGGCAAACAAGGGCTAAGCGTCGATCAAATGGACTTCTGACATAACTTATTGAATATAAGTTAAAATTATTTTGTTTTTTCTAAATAAATTTGCTA